GATGGATGAGGACAATTCACTCTTCTGTGTGTGTGAGTGTGTGTGTGAGAGAGAGAGAGGGAGAGAGAAACAGAGAGAGAAGGAGAGAAAAAGAGATAGGTGGGGGAGAGTGGTAGAGAGAAGGAGAGAGGGATGAATACTCTGAAGACATTGTGTCTTCTTTTGCTATAGGAAAAAAAATTAAATGAGAAAAAAATAAAATGTAATATTAAAAGTGAAAGAAATGAAATGTGTGCTTCAATACAGAAGAAGATTATAAATATATATGCATATATATAAATATATAACACTTATCAATCCCATTGATCATTAAAACTGACCCAGCCAAAAGAAACATAGGTCCCATGGTTTCCCTTATTTGCAATAACTAGTATATGTCTGTGACAAGCAGCAAATGTCAGATAAGATGATGTTAAGTGAAATGAACCCCAAGATAGGGACATAGGTGGTTTCTTTCTTCCTTGCTATTGTTTCTAATGTATTTATAAGGTACAATGTGTTTTTTTTTGTTGCTTTGTATGTTCCTCCCCCAAGGTGTAACCCCTGTTTTTGATGTTGGTATAATTTGGGGAGAGGAAAGAAAAAACAAATTGTTTAAACAGGGATATAGATTGATCCATTGCAACAATGAGATGTACAAGATGCTATGTCAAGAAACGAACTTTACAATTTAAGTGGGGGGGGCGGGGGTGGGGGAGTAAAGGGGATTAGCTGAAGAGGTGGAAGGGAAGAGATGTTAGGAGAAAAACAAAGGAGGAAGCAACAATGCTGGATAAGAAATGTACTCATGACCTTGCTCATGTAACTGTAACCTCTCTGTACAGTATTTTCATGATAAAAAACTTAATATAAAAAGAAAAATATATATTAGAAAACTGGTATATGTAAAACTGATATATATATGATACATTTATATATGTATATCCCCATTTATCAATCATATTGATGATGAAAACTGATCATCACTATAGATTTTCTTTTTGCAATATGATGTCAGGGACTATGAATTGAATATTTTTTTTTCCAAAAATGGAGATTATAGGTGGAATAATTCATTTATTGATTTTTCCTCCTTTCATGTTAGAAGATAACTCAAGAGTATTTTTATGCTTTGGAAATGATTTGAGTTGAAGCAGCACCATATGCTCTGGTTACTCAGGCAGAGCACAGAAAAGCACTGAGCAATTATATGGTGGATTTGATCAGATTTGAAAGCCAGTCTTGAAACTCAAGACAGAAACTCCTGCTCTTTCTTCCACAGCATGTTTGGGGACTGAACTGTATTACCAATTACATCAAACTTCTATTTATACCTTGGCCAGTCTTTACAAATCCTATATGTGTTAATGATTTTCCTTATCAACAATTCTGTATGTCTTTGTTGCTTTACAATTTCCATACAAGAATAATATTAAAATAATTATGGATAAGTTTATAAGGATTCTCTTTTTTATGTTTTTATTATAAGAAAACTGTACAGAGGGATTACAGTTACATGAATAAGATAATGAGTACATTTCCTATCAAGCATTGCTACCTCCTCTTTTGTTGTTCTCCTACCATCCCTTCCCTCTCACCTCCCCAACTCCTTACTCCCCACCAAGTTGCAATGTTCGTTTTCAACATAGTGTCTTGTACATCTTATTGTTACAATGGGTCAACCTGTATCCTTATTTCAGCATTTTGTTATTTCCCTTCCCCTCCCCAAATCAGAAAAATATAAATACAAATTGCAGGGCACTGACATCAAATACAGTGAAAACAGGGGTTATACCATAGGGGAAGAACATACAAGAGAAACCAAAAAAAAATTACATAGTACATTTTAAATATGTTAAAAACAATAGCAATAAAGAAAAAGAAAAAAATCACTTGTGTCCCTATCTTGGGTTTCATTTCACATATTAACATCATCTCATATGGTCATTTGTACATAACTTTTGACCTTTTCTGCTTGTCCTATACTTATACTAGTTATTACAAATAACGGAAACCATGGGACCTATGTTTCTTTGGGCCTGGCTTACTTCATTTAATATGATTTTCCCAAGTATTTCCATTTCCTAACAAATGTGGCAATGTCATTCAGAAGCAACCAAGTTTCAGAATATTATAAGGGAATACTTTTCAAACCTTTATGCTAATAAGTTTGAGAATCTGGAAGAAATGGACGATTTTCTAGCAAATATCGACATGCTGAAACTAAACCAAGATGAGTTAAACCAACTTAACAGACCCATATCAAGCATCAAAATAGAAACAGCAATGAGACCTCTCACCCAAGAAAAACCTAGGACTGGATGGATTTTCAGATGAATTCTACAAGGCCTTCAAAGCAGAACTCACACCAATACTCCAACTCTTCAACAAAATTGGAAGTGAAAGTTCACCACCAAACTCTTTCTATAAAGCCATCATAACCCTTTTCCCAATACCAGGCAGGGAGTCATCAAAGAAAGAGAACTATGGATCCATTTCTTTGATGAACAACAAAGCAAAACTTCTCAAAAAATTTTGGCCAATTGACTTCAACAACTCATCAAACAATAATATACCATGATCAAACAGGATTCATTTCAGGGATAGAAAGCTGATTCAATATATACAAATCAATTAATAATTCACAGCAACAAGAGCAAGGCTAGAGCCATATGATTATCTCAATAGATGCAGAGAAAGCATTTGACAAGATCCAACACTCCTTTATGATGAAGGTGCTGGAAAAACTAGAAATCCATGAATCATTCCTTAACATAATAAAGCCTGAGTATGACAAACCTACAGCCACCCTTACACTTAATGTTGATAAGAACTATTTTTGCATTACCTGGATTGTCCTGTTTCCAAAATCATCCCAGAATGATAACTTCATTCCAGTATCTTATATTCAGTTTAATTAGGTAATCTGAGTGCAATTTACAATCTGACAAATGTAAATAAGTTCAAGAATTTCTCATTCTTTACTTGAAAGATGTGAGAGAGTCACAAAGAATGTCTGGATCATTTCCTTATTTTATCATAATCATGTAAGAAATATATCTAACATGCACACTAACATAACCTTTCCAGTAACATCCTTGTGAAGCAGTGGTGATTGAGAGGGAGTCAGTCCATTAATATCAAAGTACCACTATTCAATCATAATCCAATCTGCAAAACCAACACAGACCTGAAAGGGGCTGTGCCATTCATTCATTGGGGAAATGAGTGAGACTATGATTCTCCTTTCAAAACTCATTAGTGTAAAATTTCATTTAATTAAGTGATAAAGGTATATTAAAATAAAAGAGATGGGACTTCTTTTCTGAATTGAAAATAAATTAACTTTGGGACAATTAATCTTTTGCAGCATATTAAGGGGCACTGCCAGCAGGCCACAGATGCACACCTCAGGAGGAGTCTAAGAAGACATCTGTGTGGAGGGCTGAATGTAATTTCCACTATAATGTAGTAATGAGGTGTCAACTCCTCTAGATAAATGCTTCAAATAATATTTCAAAAAAGAAAAACAAACTATGCATACTTTTTCTATTTTGTGTTCATGATGATAAATATTGTAGCTCAATATACTCATGAAAAAATGAACTGGGAACAAAGAATGAAATTAAAAACTGGGAAAAGACCAGAGGAATAAAAAGAGAAGGAAAGAGAGAGAGAGAGAAAGAGAGAGAGAGAGACTGAGAGAGATTGAGAGAAGAGGGGAACTCATTATCTAATGGAAAAGAGACAAGAAATATTAAATAGTAACTTTCACTATATTTCATGACAACTGATTCTGAAGGAAAGCTAAAGTCCTCTTTTCTCATGTTAAATTTTGTAAGATATTATTACAAAATTTTTCTTAATAATTTTCTGTTTCATTGTAATTTATATCACGTTTACCATAAAAAAACACCCAAATCATGTTAAGAGCTTAAATATGAAGACATGTTTTACTGACTCCTCTGTAAGGTTTCTTGTATAGCTGTAGGAAGATGCTTAATAGGATTCTTCCAACTCAGGTCTTTGATGTAAAATTGACATTAAAGTAAACTTAAGAAATCACTTAGGGAATTTACATAAAATCTAGGATGTTATTATCATTATTATTACTATTGCTTGTGCTTGTGCTTGTACTGTGGGCCTGGGCACTATCTCTGAGCTCTGTTTGCTAAAGGCTAGTGCTGTACCACTTGAGGGAAGGGATGGTAGGGGAAAAAACAAAGGAAGAGGTAACAATGATTGATAAGAAATGTACTCATTACCTTGCTCATGTAACTGTAACCCCTCTGTACAGTATTTTCACAATGGTTCACCAAGGTGATGTTAGGAAAATGAACCCTAATATATGTATCTTAAATGTTTTTTTTCTCTTTCATGCATTTGTTTCTAATGCAATTATAAGGTTATTTCTTTGTTGCTTTGTATGTCCCTCCCCCATAGTATAAGCCCTGCTTTCACTGTATTTGATGTTGGTATAATTTGTGGAGGGGAAGGGCAAAAACAAGTCGTTTAAATAAGGATACAGGTGGACCTGTTGCAACAATGAGAAGTACAAGTTGTCCTATCGAAAACGAACTTTACAACTTGGTGGGGGGGGTGGGTGAGGGGGAGGGAAGATGGGAAGGGATTGGAAGGGATGGAAAGGCTCCAATGCTTGATAAGAAATGTACTCACTATCTTGCCCATGTAATTGTAACCCCTCTGTACAGTATTTTCACAATAAAAATTAAAATTAAAAAAAAGTCTCAAGGACTTTCTTGCCCAGGCTGGCTTAGGACAATGATCTTCAGATCTCAGCCACTTGAGTAGTTAGGCACCTGACACATGGTTTAGGATTATTCTTTTAAGAACTTAGCATACATAGATAACTATTTAGAAACTTATAATTTAGAAAGAAAAACAGAGAGTGGAAAGACATAGAGAGATATTACATCTAATAAGCAATTCTTTTTAATAATGCTTCACTGTAATATATGACAATTTAGAAAATGATTTCACACATTTCCTTCAGTACCAACCTTTTTTGGTACAATTGACTTGAGTTTCATCACTGAAGTCTCCACAGTCATTGTCTCCATCACAGGCCCAGTGGCCTGGAATACATCGGCCACTGGAACATCTGAACTGACTATCCACACAAGAGTGCACACATCCTATCTCATCACTCCCATCTCCACAATCGTCATCTGAAAAAGCAGCAAAATCAGAAAATGAAAAACAACCCACACAAAGGTTTCCATATATGTAAGTTTTTTTACTCTGTAAAGTTTCCTTTTACTTTGAAATAAGAATGATGACTCTGCAATGATCATTTCCCATGAATACTGAGAGATTATTTTCGTTTTTACATAGCAATGAATTCTTTTGTGATTTTATAGCAATTGCTAGCATTTAAAGGGGAAAAACAGTTTCTGTAGATTTTACAGCTGAATTTCTATTCCAATCTAGCACAATTAACTTTCCATTAAATGGATCTATGTAGCATGAATCATAATGATAGTGTTGATGGTAGGAATTTCATGGAGTAATACAAATAGTCATCTAATTATTGAAAGATATTTATTGTGAAATATTTAAACCAGGGCTGAGAAATGCTGAACCTATATATAAGAGCCATGGATCATTTGGTCACATGTTAGGGTAATCAGTTATGGTTATTGTGTGCTTCTCATTGGCCGCCTATAGCCCATTGACCTAGGTTAATCATTTCCTGTGGCCTGTGCACGATGCCATAAATATCCAAATGTCCCTTGATAAAATGAAGGTTCCCTACCCTTGAACCTACACTCTTCTTACACCAGAGTGTAAAGCTGGATTTCCCATTAATCCCATTGTCACCACACTCCAATATGAAGACTTATTGAACTGCCCTCCTCAACATACAGGATTGTACTCAAACCTAGTACATATAATTAGCAACAATTCATATTTTCAATTAGCAAACATTCGAGGAGGGAAGGGAAAAGAATATGCAAACAAAATAGATTAAGTTGAACAAAATGACATTGACATATATAATGTTTTGTTTTGTTTTTGGTGGGTCATGGGGCTTGAACTCTGGGTCTGAGCGCTGTCCCTTAGCTCCTCAGCTCAAGACTAGCACTCTACCACTTGAGCTACAGCACCACTTCCGGTTTTCTGGTGGTTTATTGGAGATAAGAGTTTCACAGACTTTCCTTCCTGGACTGGCTTTGAACCGCTATTCTCAGATCTCAGCCTCCTGAGTAGCTAGGATTACAGGCGTGAGCCACCAGTGCCTGGCTTGACTTATATATAATGTATTTGGAGCAACTTAGTATAATGATACAACTGAGTATAAGAGAAAAATGTCATCACTTGTACATAAAAGCAAGAGAGTTGACACCATCTGGATAATTCCATAATTGTTTATAAATTGCTCCATCTTGAGGATATGTAAGTGGCTGAACTATCCAGGTAATTTTCTTAATTGTTCCCTGCATTCCTGTTTAATAGAGCTAGACTATGCCCAATCTAGTATCTAGAAACAAATGTCTATCATAGTTCCATGGGGAAAACATGGAGTTCCATTATCCTTAACGCTAATTCCCAGTGATGTGCCAACTGCCCTCTCACCTCTTGTCTTAATCACTTTTCTTGGCTCTGTAAGAATCATTTATAAACTGTCTTTGAAAGAAGCCTGGCAATCCAGATAACCAGACCTCCAATCAAATCAGTGCTATCCAGTGAACAGTTGTACTTGCCTGAGTCACAGTGCCATTTGCTGCTAATGCATCTTCCACTTTTGCATATAAATTGAATTAGTGGTTCACAAGTTGGGAATTCTGTGAAAAATGGACAAAAAAAAACAACCAATAGGAAACATGTTATTGAAAGTGCTTGATTTAATTTGTTAATGCAATCAGAATCCCTCTTCTGTTCTCTTCCAAGGCACCAAAAACACAATAGATAGACAAGTACAGGCCTGTAACATATGATACTCATTCTTCTAATGTCTTTTAAATGAGTATTTTCTAGTGACTTAAAGCCTAGGAAGAACATTTGTTGAAGGATCAAGTGCACTTGGATTCATTATTGTATGAGAAATATGAATCAATATCATCTTTCTGTGTCCAAGGAAACACATTCTTCTCAGTAAATAAGAGTAAGTAAAATTCTGCTCAATGATGCTGTAACATGCTTATGCTTCAATAGAAAAATAACTTTTCTGAATACAGAGAGCCAGTGTGGGTAAGTTAGGCCTAACACTGGACTGTGAGAGATGTCTGGATCATGAGGTGAAAATTTAAAAATAAAAATGTATGCATTATCCTGCCCATTGTAATTGTAACTCCTCTGTACAGTATGTTCACAAATAAAATAAAATTAAATTTAAAAAAAACAATAAAACCAGTTAATTACTAACATAGAGTTACAAATCTGAAAAACATGAATTTTTCATCAGTGAAAGCACAAAGCACCTGAAATATATAGAAAATAATTATATTTCAAAGTGAAACTATAACCAAATTAAATCAAGATTTCCCCCCAAACTTTAGATAATTATAACAATAATATATATATAATTATTAAGAAAAAGTCTAAGGGGTAATTGTCTAATATAAAATTTTGATAAATTTTAAAAGACAATTTGTAATGAGATCTAAAACAATCATGATCAAATTTCTAAATGGATACAAATTATCAGAGTAAAATATAGTTACCAAACAATTCAACCAAAAAGTTGAAGGGATTTAATACTCCCCTAGAGAAAATGTTATTCAATCTATTTCATATGTAATGGAAATAATTCACCTAATATCTTATAAATTTCCCAGTACTAGACCTTTTAGTAAGCAAGAGACTGCGCATAGAATCATAAAAAGTAGGAAAACTGAAACCCAAGCATTTAAAAATTAGAAAAATAAAAGCAAACCCATCCGTCCACTGATGTCAAGATAGAAAAAAAAGGAAAAAATACTGTTTTGCTGAAAGCTGGAGCCATTGCCACATCATGACAATAATCTGTAGCTTTTTTCCCTCAAATTTGTTTTCTTTTCATTAGCAGAGTATGATAAGCGATATTTAATTATCTGTTCTTATTACTATTATCTTTCAGAAGTTGTTCAAAAGAGTTTACATTTAACAAAGCAGCTCATGAATATTGTATATTGTTACCCCTTTCGATACTCACCCATCCTTCCTCTACCCACTCCTTTCCTTACTCTTCTTACTTTTTTTTAAATTTATTTTATTTTATTTGTGAACATACTGTACAGAGGGGTTACAATTACATGGGCAGGATAATGTGTACATTTCTTACCAAGAATTGCAGCCTCCTCCTTTGTTTATCCTTCACATCCCTTCCCAGCCTCCCCCCCCCCCCCCCCCAGTCCCAATCCTTCCCCCCCCACCCCCGCAGCTCATTTTCGACATGACAGCTTGTACTTCTCATTGTTGCAACAGAATTACTATGGATTCAGAGATCTATATTCTTAGTGCTCAGGATACAAAGGACATGGGTTCTTAAACAATTATATATTTTAACTCATTTATTTTTGTATGTTTAGTTACATTAATATCTGTCTTGTAGTCTGATTTAGCTTAGTGACCAACATGTAAACTACTATTAAAATACACATTTAGGAAATGGAAAAAAAATCAGAGAACAAATTACTACACAGAGAAAAGACTTTATTTGAAAGCAAACATGTAAATAGTACAGTTATGAATAGTTCATTTTGGTTTTATCTTACAATAGTGTGGCATTAGGTAGACCATACAGCTTCTCTTGTCCGAGACTCTTGACTCTTAAAATGATACTGTGTAAATCCTAAAGATCAAGGCATCTAAGGAAACACCAACTAAAATACCCTAAACCCTGGAAACAATTAATGAATCAAAACTGTATACCCCCTTAAGGGATCAAAGCCTTACAAATAAGCACAGGAAACAATTTGGAGAAAAAAATAGGTAGAACATAGAAATGTTCAAATTATCCAACTCTTGGACATTTACCCAAAAGACCACACACAAGATCATCTAAAGCTACCAGCACAATTATGTTTATTGCAGCATTATTTACTATAGCTAAGATATGGAACCAACACAGATGCCCCTCAGTAGATGAAGGGATCAAGAAATGAAATAACAAAATGCTGAAATAAGTATACAGGTTGACCCAGATGTACATGACACTATGTTGAAAACAAACTTTAACAACTTGGGGTGGTAGACAGGGAAGGGATGGTAAGTGGAAAACAGAGGAGAAGGTATCAATTCTCCAAAGGAAATGTGCTCATTACCTTACTCAGGTATCTGTAAGCCTTGTGTACAGTATTTTCACAATAAAAGTATATATAAACGTATAATGGAGGGATGATTTATGTCCCTATTATGTGGTGAAATTAATGTAAATCACTGAAAATAATCCCAGGCAAATTTATTTGAGTATTTTTGTTATAAATATAATAGTTGCTTACGTATATATTATTACATCATTAAAATTGCTGATACAATTTCTAAACTATGATATATCATAGCAATATCAGAGTTTTCCAACAATTTTTGGAGCATGATGAGAAATCCCATGATAATTGAAAATATCCATATGCAAATTTAAGTAAATGAGTAATTGGTTCAAAATTATTCACAGAATTCTAAGATCAGTATTCTACAGAAGAGTGTCCCACTTGCCCACCAATAAAATTCAGACTTTTCTTACTATGATTTGGTAAAAGTTACATTAAACAAATATTAGAATTACACAAACTAAGGAGCTTTGATTTATGTGATGGGTAGTAGAATTGAAAGTGACCTGGAGGGAGGGTATGATCTGTGGGAGGAGTGAGGTCTGAGAGCAAGAGCATGAAGTAGAAACACCCTCATTCGGTTCATAATCCAAAATGTTTGAGTAAGGGAGAACAAGAAGATTGCTAATATACATCTTAAAAGAGAAAAACTGGAATCAACCATTGGGAATACCCAAAAAAGGCAATCTAATTTATATTCAAAGAACTTAAGTATTGTATTTTATGTTATTTATATGAGATCAGGTCTTGCTTTACTTTTCCCACATTACAGGATTTTAACTTCCCTTGGATCTTTAAAGTCAACACATGTTGTTACAACCAATATAATAATTCATGTTGGCTTTGGATATATTATTTTCCAGTCTTCCCAATTTTACGTTTCAGAGAGACACATTGACAACATGATAATAGAATATTGACAAAATGGGAACATGTACAGCATTGAAATAAACACTATATTGAAGGTTCTTGTCCAGAGAAATATTAATAAGACCATCACAACAATGAATAAAAATCTATTATGGGAAATGTGCCTTTAAAGGAGATTTTCAAGTAATATGCCATTTTATTGTTGGTTCCTATTTACACACCATGTATAGATCCAAAAATAGTCAACCTAAAATGAAGTGGTCTGAATTTCAAGTATGTGTGGATTCATAGCCTCACCCTGCTACTTATTAGATTCATGGTCTCAAGAAAGTTTCTAAAAAATCTTTAAAGATTCAATTCTTTTATCTGTGAAATGTAGACAGTAATATGCTCCTCATAGATCAGTTGGAAAGACTCCTCATGACAAGATGTGTCTCACAGGCCTTCTAATCACTTTTCCTCAGTTCATGAGAGATATAAAAGTTTGTTGGTACAATTATTTAGAATATTATTGAAGTTTTAGATATTCTCCCATTTATGAATCAAATATATATCATATAAATAAAGAAAATTTTATTTCCCTAGACAATTATTAAAAATTTAAAAAATCATATCAAAGACCCAATAGTAAGTTCTTTAATGAGCTTTCATACTTTTTTCTTCCTCTATTGCTTTTTTGCCATTTCTTATCTGAATTGGGACACTCATTTCAAGACTTCTTTGTATTTAACATTTTGAGCATATTCATTATTCTTCTTGTATTTTATGAATGATATGATCTAAATAGGAACAGAATCAAAATTTCTTTAAAAATAGCAACGTAATAGTTGACCCATCCAAATTTTGGGTAACATAAATATTCTGGACCTTGAAAAGGAAAAATTCCTCTGTCCAACCCTTAGTTGGCCACACTTCATATAGTGTGCATGTACTATGTGAACTAAAATAATGGGTGCTATTTTCTGTTGATTCTATAACACTGTTTCTATTTAATTACCTATCACTTGGTGCTACCTACTTTATCATTTTATTCATATAAACTTTATTGATCATAAACATGGTAGGTTTGCTTAAAAAAAGTAACAAGAAAGTTCTAGTTAGAGAATTCACCTGTTAAAGAGACATTTAAATTAAGAACTTAAAAAAATCTTGCTTTTGTACTATCTATTTACTATTATCTGGAGTTAAATCACAAAAAAATGAGCACTTAGCTGAAATGCACACATGTTTATTCTGTGTACATGTATGTGTATATACATGCAGATAGATATGTGCATGTGTGTCTCTATGCATGTGTATGTATGTATGCTTATATTCATATATACGCATGGTGTTGATACAACTCAAGTAGCGACAGTTTGTGCTCCGCTACTGAACCATATCCCCTGCTATAATGTATGCACAATATATAATTTTTTTTTCTGTATCTCATTTATAGGTGAAAGTTGTTGGATTATTTGTGACAGGGTTTTACTGCAAAGTCTCAGCTCTCCTTGCACTCTTGATCCCTGCTTCATTTATACTCCCAAGTCCTAGGATAAGAGAGTGGCTCTTCCCACTATGTCCAACTCTTTAGGGATAAATTATTTTAATAGTAATATTAAAAATCCAGTACCATGCCGGGTGCTGGTACCATGCCTATAATCCTAGCTACTCAGTGAGCTGAGATCCAAGGATCGCAGTTCAAAACCACCCTGGACAGGAAAGTCTGTAAGACTCTTATCTCCAATAAACCACCAGAAAACTGGAAGTAGCACAGTGGCTCAAGTGGTAGAGTGCTAGCCTTGAGCTAAAGAGCTGAAGGACAGCGTTCAGGCCCAGAGTTCAAGTCGCATGACCGAAAAAAAAAAATCAAGTACCAGTAAAAACAACAACAAAGAAAAACCTCTTTGGACCCTATTGTAGGGTTCATTTTACTTAGTATCATATTATATGGTCATATGTACACAGCTTTTGAACTTTTCTGCTTATCTAATAAGATTATCACGGATGTATACTAATTATTGCAAATAAGAGAAACCATGAGACCTATATTTCTTTGGATCTGGCTTACTTCCTTTAATGATTTTTTTCCAAGTCTTTCAATTTCCTAACAAATGGGTGGTGTCATTCTTTCTGATGGAAGCGTAGAATTCCATTACACACACACACACACACACACACACACACTACATTTTCTTTATCAATTCATCTACTCAGGGGAATCTGGAGAAACCAAAGGAGGGATAACAATGTTGGACAAGAAATGTGCTCATTACCTTACTCATGTAAATATAACCCTTCTGTTCCGCATCTTTACAATAAATAATATTTTTTAATCCAGTACCATAATTGAAACAAAGTATACATTAAAACACTTGGTTCATTCCTTCAACATGTTGTCTTTAGATATGCATTATTAATACAAATGATAATAAGACATACTGGTACATGAATTCAGAGGCTAGTAATTAAATATGCAACTTTCATGCAGCAATAAATGGTTTCTGTATTTAGGATTAGAAGACTAAAGGGAAGAAGACTAGAAATTTTGCCATCAACAGAATTATTATCTTAAACTGATAATGGTTTTAGTCATAATCATATGTTTCTTTAGAAATGGAACAATTCATGCATAGTCAATATAACCTCAACCTACATTATGGCTCCAGTAATACAGCAGATGCATTCCACCAAGAAATCTGTTCTCCTCCTATACCTTAGTGTTATTAACTGTACTATTTTTGGGTAAGAAAATTTAATCATTCCTAAAGCATTACTAGTCAAATTTAATACTATCTTTTTAGTTTTATAATAATCACCTGATAATAAAACCTGCAATGCCTGGTTACCTTTATTTTAGCTGAGGACAGAGTTACTGTGAATTGGAGACATTTTGAACCCACCATTAAAACATACATGTCTATCCAAAAGTTGGTTGTGAAAGGAACTATTGTCTCGGACATAATCTCTATTAAAAGGATATGTCATTCATAACTTACCACAGGATGACATTTCATCAGTCTGGTCCCCACAATCATCTTCCCTGTCACACAACCAGGCTCTGGGGATACAACGCCCATTTCCACAAGAAAACTGGTCTATCTGGCATGTTCTGGCTGCAAAGATCCATTTATACAGAAAGAAAAAAATAGAGTCACTTTAACATTGAGAATAAAATAAAACGTGGAGCAACTCTTTCACTCATTAGATAGTATGTTTCTTTATTAAGATAAAATGCTTTAAAAGTTAATTTTTAGTTAATATTTTACAACATCAATTTGTCTTCTGGAACATTCACACACTTTCCTGTGTAATTATAATGACTCTTAAATGACAAGATAGTTAATACTTCTCACACAATCCAAAATTTTTAAATAATTAATTCATACTTGGCCTGGCACATGCTTATAAATATATGACTAATTTGAATTCCATCCAAGTTTTGACTAATCAGAAAAGAATTCTGCATACATTCTCTAATAAACTAAGAAAATTTCTGCTGTTATGGGAGGAGACCTTTGGAGACTAACCCAGTGTATCTACTCTTTGATCCTGGTCTCCATGGCCTCAGATCTGTCCTTTGCTTCTAACGTTTTCAATATGTTGGTGTGTTGTGTGGCTGTGTGTGTGTGTGAGTGTGTGTGTGTGTGTGTCTGTATGTCTGTGTGTTTCTGTTTGTCTGTGTGTTTGTGTGTTATTGACCCTGAACTCAGGGCCTTCAGCTGGATAGGCAGATGTTCTACAATTGACCCCTACTATCCTGTTTTTGCTTCAGTTGCTTTTCAGACAGGGTCTTGTACTTTTGCCCAATGTCATTCTCAGACAAGGTACCTTCTACCTTACCATCAAAGAACTTTTACTTTTTGATCTCTACCTGATCCATTGCATGTAGCAAAAAAAAAAAAAAAAGAAGGTGTTTTCTAAAACATATATTTAGCCTTAAGATCTTGCTTTATAAGTCACATTTGCAAAGAAATATAAATGAATGTATGACCTTTTTAATCAGACTACGTACTAATGAATTTTGCTTTGGGCTTCCTTAAGTTTGCAAGGAAGGAAAACAGAGAAGGTTCCTTTCCATGATAGCCAAAGGCAGTGGTTTAATATTATTTACTGAAGAATTATGTTCTACAGGGAATTTGATTGCCTTTTTCCATTAATCAGGTCAACATTCAAAAGCATGAAAGCCTGCATAGCTTTACTGCCTCTTCCCCCAGGACTTTAGTGTTTATATATTTAGTTACTTTGAAAGCTTCATTTTAGTTCTTTTCATATGCTCCTCAGAACTATAGATCTGTCTTCATAAGTGTCAGTACTCCATCCATGTCTCCTTTAATTAGATTAGAGGGAAAACTGGGATATGTTACCAAAGGGAAACTTAGACATATGAATATTTTGGTTAGCTAAATTTGAATAGTTAAGAATAATATAGAGTCTATGTTTGCATCTTGAACACCTGACTACTTTACAAGTATCCTCTTGTTTCCTGGGCTTTAGAATTATAAAGATGTCTTTATAATTAATTACATACTGGATATTAAATTAATACAGGGTATTTTAATGAAATATAGGGTATTTAATCAAAATAGCTTTTAGACTTGAGTATTAATTCTTAGCATAGAGAATGATTCAAACCAAAATCATGCAAATAATACAATATTTTCCACAACAGGTCAGGATACATCTGGCCTGCAAGCTATATAAAGTCCCTCTAAATCACGGTGTATACCACTAGACAGAAATATATACACACTAATATTTCCTATACCACTTGCCTATATTGATAGTTTGTATAAAAATTCTAATGGTCCTTGGCTGAAAACAAGGTCTCATCCCTGAATGAGGTCAAGTTAAGCATTTACTGGCTACTTCGATACATTTGTAATTATTGTGACAATCAGAGTAAATATACATATATATATATATATATATATATATATATATATATATATAAAATGGTGTTAGGAAACTTTGTGTGGAGAAGTAGGTTAAGTTATGAGATGGTCAATAAATTTTCCTTACAAAATTATGTTGTTTCCCTGATTACACAAGATCTTCTTTCCAGTTGTAAAAGACAGTACATGAGAAATTTGGTACTAAATGTTGTTCCTTCCTCTCTTTTATTATCTCTTGTGTTTTTCCTTTTTTTTCTCTTCTTGTTCATTCTTTTCCTAATTCCTTGGACTTTTTTGTGTTTTAAAAATTAGCACAAGTTTTCAACTTCATTAAATTCAGACTTACAATAAAAATATGCTAGTTATCCAGGCTAATGTTCTTTTATTTGAGATAGCCTCATCACTAATAATTCAGTGCTGAGTCTCATTTGCTTTCAGCAGGCGGGGTAGGCAATTAGGAAAATACACAAGAATATCTAAGTCCTTGTTTCACATAACTTAATACCTGTCATTGTGATTGTGTGGGAATCTGGGTGTAACTGCTTTATAACTGAATTGGAGAAAATCTTGTCTATGATTTTAAGTATTCACTAGATTTTTACTTGGGACTATTATGCTCAGGTAGTACATGGATTCACTATTTGTTCTCATAATGGATAAATGTATTTTCCTTTTTCTATTAGGAAAACTTAACTAATTTGAAGTATTAAGTATGCTTTATTTCTTAAATCTTCACTCACTGCTTTTCTGTCTGATATTACCAGTCTGACTGAGTTATCACTTGCAAATGACTTGGTTTCTATCAAGAAAACACCATGCTTACTTATTCAGTTTTTATCCTGATCTCATCTAATTAGTTTGAAGGTGATATTAGAACAGCAATCCCACAGGACTCCAGTTTTATAGCAAATGCTGCTCTAAGGAAGAGGAAATTTGCACCTCCACCAGGAGAATTGTTTATCTAACAGCTGAATCAGAGATTTGCTGTCACAATGTGAATATTTCTACTGAACACTAATCAGGCTTCTCCTGCTGCTAGAAATAAGAAATCCCACAGTGTACAGCTAGTGTACAGGGAAGAAGAGGTTAGAACAAATTACAATCATCCTAAACTTTACTTTGGCTGCATTTAATCAAAGCATTCTACTTTAACAAAATATATGTCAAGCAGGGGTTCACTTTTAATATCAGATCTCTGAAGCCATAGTAAACAGGGACATGAGTTCACAGACAATGTTACACAGTAAGGTATTGTCTTTAAAATATGCTACAATTGTAGTTGAGTGTTAGAAAGCTTGTCTAGCATACCAACACTATTTAAAAATAGACTCAAATATTTTGTGTGCTCACATATACAGATATAAAAATATACATGTATGTAGACATATGTAGCCATATATCTACTCATGGATATGTGGTTTAAGTTATCTTTTCATTATTATCAGTAAGCAATGAAAATTCTCACTCATGTATCATTATGCATGATTACAAATTAGAGCAAAGATCTAAAAATATATTTACAGAATGGAAAGGCTAAACATCTCTTATTATTACTGGATGTATACAAATTACTTTTCAAAAAATCCACTCATAGATCTGAGGATCTAGGTTCAAAGCCACCCCAGGGAGGAAAGTCCATGAGATTCTTATCTCCTATAAACCACTAGAACACAGGAAGTGGTGCTGTGGCTCAAGCCATAGAGAGCTTGCCTTAAGCTGAAGAGTGCAGGGACAGTGGCCAAGCCCAGAGTTCAAGCCCCATGACTGAGAAAAAAAAGTCCACTCATACACCAAGAGTAAGTGAATAATTCCTTCTACAAGAAATTACTAATATTAGGCCTTATCAACTACTTATTGCTCCTAATGAAATAGTTTTGCTATTTAGGAATTTTTCTAAGGGATTTCTAAAGTCTCCTCTTGGGCCTTGTTTCCCAGGAACTTTCCCCAGGTTGAAAAAAGCTAAATTCTTAACTCTTCTTGGGTGTTACAGTATGGTTTGTCTTAATACAAAGTTGGTAAGATGGCTGCTGACATAGTTTTCTCTAGTGTTCACTCTCAGCTTTACAGTGAAAAAGCACTATATATTTTATCCCATTCAATCATGAGTACCTTGATAAATATTTATAGAAGTAATAGATTGATGAAGGAGAAACCTAAAGGAACAAAACAGGAAATTGGCTTCTTATGAGAAAGTATTTTCTTCTTGATATAAAATGATCAAAATGTTAATGGGTATAGGACAGTAGATTCAATTTCAAAATAATCCTCCACTTAAAGTTGTTTTATCTAGGATGCTTGTCCATGTAGATGCATTTAGAAACAGCCAGAAAAGATTTAGCAAATTTTCTATATGAATTTTCTGCTTGAACTAGTATTCTAAAATATATGGTCTATTTATTTATTTTCGTAAATGAAAGTACATTTTAATATACATACATTCTGTATAGTTTTCTAATGAAAAAAAGCACACACACACACACACACACACACATTCCATGTCTACTTTTTATTCATGCTCTTAAGGTATTTGTTGGCCATAGAAACTACAATAAGCATTCTGTAAAGGTCTTCTGAGTAGTAGACTGCAGGTGAAATCACTTGAAATGCCATTTAAGTAAGATGTATTCTACTTTTGAATTGGATTACTAGATTCAAGTGTCCTATAAATGTTAGACACTAAAATAGGTGGCTTTGTTGGCTTCTATATGTATTTTCTTTTCCATTTTTTTCAATTATTAAATAGATAGCCATATCTCAGTGGTCCTTTAAAAATCATAGAGAAGCAATTCATTTAAAGATTCTAATACAAATAAAGAAGACAAGATAGTACAATTTTATTCAGCATTTCCTATGTTACGGAGAAAACAGGGCTCCCTTTTCAGGATGTGAGAACAATGATCTTTGAATTAAAAAATAGCTTTAAAAGAGAGATTCTTATATATTATAGCCATATTGCAATAGCAGCCTGACAACACATTCTTAAAACTTAAAATTCTAGCAAATATTAAGGCTAGTTTAGTTTAATAAAAAACAAATACATTGCAGACAGAATTCAGAACTCAGAATCCCCTAAACTAGTACTAAAGGTATGAAGTTAGGTAGGTCCTCTCTTTTATGTTTCATCTCTATATAAGCAGTTTAGAAAGCTAGGATTTAGAACCAAATAATCTCTAGGTGTATTTTTCTCTAGAAAATATCTTATAAAAGTATTATATAATTTCTTGATCCATTCATCTACTAAGGGGCATCTGGGTTGGTTCCATAACTTAGCTATGGTAAATAATGCTGCAATAAACATAGTTGTGCTGGTAGCTTTCCTATGGTCTTGTTTGTGATCATTTGGGTAAATGCCCAAAAGTGGGATTTCTGGGTAATAGGGGGCTCTATGTGGAGTCTTTTGAGGAACCTCCATACTGATTTCCAAAGTGGTTGAACAAGTTAACACTCCCACTAACAATGCAGTAGGGTTCCCTTTTGGGCACATCTCCTCCAGCATCTGTTGTTATTCATTTCTTAATTATAGCCATTCTAACTGGGGTGAGGTGGAATCTCAATGTTGTTTTGATTTGCATTTCTTTTATGGTGAGGGAGGTTGAACATTTCTTCATGTGTCTACTGGCCATCCTTCTTTTCTCTTCAGAGAAGTTTCTCTGTAAGTCTTTAGCCTACTTATTTATTGGGCAATTGTTTCTTTGAGAATTTGTTGTTGGGGGATTTAATTTTTTGAGTTTCAGTTATATTTTAGATATGAGGCCCTTGTCTGTTGTGTGGCTAGTGAAGATCTTCTCCCAATCCGTGGGTTTTCTATTGATCTTGTTAGCTATGTCCTTTGCCATGCAGAAGCTTTGCAATTTCATGCAATCACATTTGTCCAATCTTTCTTTGATTTGTTGTGTTTCTGGGTCTCTTTTAAGAAAATGTTGGCCTCATTACGGGATGGAATAGGAGAAACCCTAGGTCTCCTTGGAACAGGCCGAAATTTTTTGAATAGAGACCCGGAAACACAACAAATCAAAGAAAGGTTGGACAAATGGGATTGCATAAAGTTGCAGAGCTTCTGCAGG